GCCACCCTGGGGCCAAAGGACGCTGCGGGCTGGAAGAGCAGACTAGGCCACCGCAACAGGTGCTCAGGGAAAGAGTGGGGAGGAGAGAAAGAGGGAGGGGGAGGGAGGAGAGAGAGAGGAGGGAGGGGAGGGGAGACAGGGGAGAGGGAAAGAGGGAGAGAGAAGAGAGAGGGAGAGGGAGAGGGGGAGGGGAGGGGAGGGGAGGGGACAGCTCTTCCCTGCTCTGCTCTGATCCATCTTCTATTAAGGATCAACTCCGGGGGCCTGGTCTTGCCCAGCGGAGGCCGCCTTTGGGAGGTCGGGCGCCCGGGGCTCCAGCAGAGGCTGCGGAGCCTGAGGCGTGGGCAGCCAGCTCCCCCCCAGCCCCAGGGGCCCAGCTGGCCCCGGGCAGCTCTCGTGGAGAGGGAGCCTCCGTGGGGGGACGGGGCTCCTCACACCCAAGGCACTGTGGAATCAATTCTGCACGCCTCCTCCATTAGCGCCGTGTCTGAATGAGCTTTAATACGCACGTGATCGTGTCTTCGAGACTGAGCGAGAATGTATCATCATTAACCCTGCCAGCCTTGCGGTTAGCGGTGCAGGCTCCCCCCCCCCCGTGTGTAATAGAAATGGCACTATTTCTTTGGTGTCTCAAAGTTCTTACTTATCCACTGATTCTGGAACCCATTTTTCAAACATTTGACTCTAACAGCCTATAAGGCACTGGAGGTTGACTCGACCTCCCCAGCTCTTTTTTTCCAGCATTCTCTATGTGAGGATTAACTCTCTGGAGGTGGAGCTGGGTCTGGAGGCCCCCGGGCCTGGCCAGGGAAGGAGGCCGGTGGGCCAGGGGGCCTGAATGGGCACATAGAGAGTCCTAAGAAAGGGCACTCCAGCCCCAGGGGCAGTGACAGGAGCTCAGAGCTCTGGGGTCGGCGTGGTTACAGCCAGGGAGAGACACTCGCTCTGGGGAGCAGGAAATAAACTAAGCAGTGTTGGAAGACTGACAGAGATCATGGGAGGAAAAATCACCAGAAAGGGCAACCAGACGCGCCTCTCTTCCCAGGCAGTCATGCGAATTAGGGAAGCGAGAGGTTTGCCACGCGAGGCTCCACTGTGATGGATTGCTTTAATATTCTGGCCTCCCTCCCTCGCCACACGCTACCTTTAAACCGCAATAGCGGCAGGGATGGGGGGTGACAGATCGCACCCTTCTATCCTCCTCCTGCCCCCCCTGCCTCCCGGTCACCTCCTCTCAGTGAAAAACAAGATTATCAGAAGGGAGAGCCACTTCTCAGGAGATCAAAAGAGGAGGAGGAGGAGGTCTGAGCCATAACCTCAACGTTGGTTGCCACCAAACGCCACAGTGTGTAGTTTATCATTTAAAACATCAGCACAAAGCCCTGGGCTGGCTGATCGCCAAACTTCTGAAGTTCCTGTAGAAGAAATCACCTGTAAAAGCATTGGCCCATCTGAGTTTATCACAGTACCGGGGCTAAACAGCAGGAACTCCTCCCCTGGGCCCCTGCATTAACTAAACACAGGAGGAAGTTTGGTGCATTTGCTTTTCTCCTGTTCTAAACTGCCGCTCGCTGGTCACCTGAGCTTCTAGAAAGACACAGTGAACGCAGAGATGACGGTCAGCCGAGTCACACCCTCATGGGGGAGTAGTTAATTCTCTGTCTATTTAAATCTAAAGCTCAGCGGGTGCTGCTGGCTCACACCTGTCATCCCAGCTACTCAGGAGGCTGAGATCTGAGGATCATGGTTCAAAGCCAGCCTGGGCAGGAAAGTCCATGAGACTCTCTCTCCAATGAACCACCAGAAAACCGGAAGTGGCGCTTGTGGCTCAAAGTGGTAGAGGGCAATAGACTTCAGCAAAAGAGCTCAGGGACAGTGCCCAGGCCCCGAGTTCAAGCCCCATAACACATAAAAAAAGAAACCTAACACGTGTTTCTGTGCCCTGAAGACGGGGGCGGAGCTGGGGAAGGCCTGCTCTGCCTCCTCCCGTGGCTGCCTGTCCCGTGGCGGGCCCCTCCCCACCATCCACCATTGCCACATCTTCTCGTGGCGTGTCGGGGCATGTGTCTGGAACTACCACGGGGCGTCTCCAGAGTCTGGGCCTGCAGATGAGCGCAGACAGGCCTCTCTGGCCTCTCTTTTCCTTTTAGATCTAAGAGTCCTGTCTCTGGCTGTTTGTTCTCTGGCAGGAGGAAGCGTCCATCAAAGGACCTGGAGAGGATCAGATATATCCCCTTCCCCCCTTCCCCCCACCCCGTTCCCACGAATCGCCGCTCCTGCCAAGGGAACCCCACACATGCGCCACCCTGACACAGGTCCCACAAATCTCCCCACGCCTGCGGTGGTGAGCTGTGTTCACCCTACAATGGGACGGCCTTGCGGGGAAGAGCGACTACAGCTTTGAGAAGGATCTGACATTTGGGGGGGGCAGGGGGGAGAGAAGCTCCAAAAGCCGTCGTGTGCTTAAGAAAGGCTCGATACCGCGGCTGCAGACGCCCCAGGTTCTGCACGGCGCCCCCCGCACCTCCCAAGCGGAGCTGACCGGCCCTCGCCGCACCCGGCCTGGTCAGCAAAAGCACAGTGCGTGCCGGGAACGTATAACTGAAGCCATTCGGGTAAAAGAAGACGCGGGTGTGGGTTTTTTCCCACGCTAATTTTAGGTGTAGGGACACAAGATTGAATTCTCCCCACTGTCCGCAGCCTGGGGCTTCCGTCCTGTATGTACAGGGCTGGAAACTCGGCTCCCGGCTCCTGTGGAGGCTCCGGTTAAAGATGAGAGGTCTGGAGGACAGGCAGCCAGGAAGCGAGGTCAAGCTTGAAGGGGGGGGGCACAGCGGACATAGGAGTCAGACCCAGCCGGGGTGGGGCCCGCAGGGGACAGCCCGGACGACAGGCGGCTGGGCTGTCGTGCTCTGCCCTGTCCCCCACCCCTCTATCCCGCCCTCCCCTGTCCCCCCTGCTCCCCCCCCACCATCCCTGCTGGGCCTGGACTTCTGATGGATGTGCAGCCATCAAATTCCAAAGAGCCGGCCAGGAACCACAGATCCTGAGCCAGGAAATTCCTCTCTTCTCTTCCTGCAGAGCCACTGCCGCCTGTGCCCCGTGCCAACAGCCCAGCGCCCGTCACGGTGTGCAGCCCGCTGTGGGCCAGGAAGCACCACCGACGCTCCTGAAAGGTGACTGGCCTGCCCAGGCCTCCCTGCAGAGCCCAGGGTGGACGCCCCGGTGCCCGGTGTCCGGGCTGTCGGTGATGTTTAAACCTGGCAGTGCGGCAGGGATGGACGCAGCCCGGACCAGGCAGGCAGGACAGACGCCCACTGCAGACGCGGCCCACTGAGGTAATTTCTCAAGACCCTCATGGCATTTGTTTGGGGAGAGAGACCCCTGCAAGGGGCAGCCAGCGCCGTCCCCCGGCCTGAGCCACATCCCGGCCCTGGCAAAACTCCAGTGAAAGGTGGTGGCCTGTGGTGAACAGGCTACTGCACGCATGCTCACCCCTGCACACATGCTCACCCCTGCACGCATGCTCACCCCTGCACGCATGCTCACCCCTGCACGCATGCTCACCCCTGCACACATGCTCACCCCTGCACACATGCTCACCCCTGCACGCATGCTCACCCCTGCACGCATGCTCACCCCTGCACGCATGCTCACCCCTGCACGCATGCTCACCCCTGCACGCATGCTCACCCCTGCACACATGCTCACCCCTGCACACACGCTCACCCCCTGCATGCATGATCACCCCCTGCACACATGCTCACCCCTGCACGCATGACCACCCCCTGCATGCATGATCACCCCCTGCACACATGATCACCCCCGCACACATGACCACCCCCGCACACATGATCACCCCCGCACACATGATCACCCCCGCACACATGATCACCCCCGCACACATGATCGCCCCTGCACACATGATCGCCCCTGCACACATGATCACCCCCGCACACATGATCACCCCCGCACACATGATCACCCCCGCACACATGATTGCCCCTGCACACATGATCGCCCCTGCACACATGATCACCCCTGCACACATGATCACCCCTGTACACATGCTCGCCCCGGCACACATGCCCACCCTTGCTCAAATGCTCACCCCTGTGCACATGCGCACCCCTGCACGGGCCCGCTCAGCCCGGGTGACCCTCCAAATTCTAAGACCTCTCATCTCAGGCACAGCAGACGTCACATGGCCAACATCCGTGTGAACCAGGGACCTTACATTGGTAAGGGCACAGAAACTAATGCTGACACAAAGGCCATTTTTCCTCCTCATGGGGAAGGGAAGGCAGGGGGGGGGGAGGAGGGAGGAAGGGAGAAGAGGAGTCACCTGTCAGCTGACTGTGATCACTCTCTTAAGAGAGGAGAGGCGAAGGACAGAAGGGTTCTGTGAGTGACACCACTGAGGGACAGCGCTGCGGCCCGGCCGGACCTCCTGCCGCACACAGGAGACCCCAGGCGCCGGTTGCTCTGGGGGGTTGGAGGCTCCTGAGGGATCTTACGTCAGATCCACACGACCTACTCGGCACGTTACCCACCCGAGGGCCATTTGCTTTTCTTCTAAGAGCTATCACCCCGCTGACGCCTCCTCCACCCGCACGTCTGTGGCCCAGAAAGCTGCGCTGTGAAAAGCTCTTGGGTTTATTCTCACACTCTAAATCTGCACGACTTTGCAGAGAGAGGCTGGGAACGAAAGGAACCTTCAGTCACATCCCTTCTGGCTGAGAACAGAGGTGGTAAACCACGGAAGTGGGGGATAGAAAAACACCCCACCCCACCACATGCCCGGCGCCTAACTCACCACCGCCTCACACTTTCTCAAGGAGAATAAACGGAAGTGTTCCTCACGTGAGAGTCCAGGCTGACGTCTAATGGCCCCAGGCCCGTGGAGGGGCATGGCCTGTCCAGGGGCCTCGCCCGGCCAGGCACCCCCCCGCCCCGTCCGCAGACACCCCGAGCCGCCCTGCACGGCCGGCGGCGCTCACCTTGCTTCTTGAACAGGTTGCTCTGGACGACCTCGCTCAGGGACTGCACCTTCTGCTTCTGCAGCTTCACGGGAGGAATGCAGGTGTAGAACTCGTACAGGAGTTGGCTGAGGGGAGGGAGGGAGCAGTCACACCCACCAGCCACCTGCCACCCCGCCAGGCCTGGACTGGTCCCCCTCTGGGCCCCAGACACCATCCTGGCAGCATCAGGCCCATACTGAGCCTCAGAAGACACGCAGACGCACTGTGGGTGCTGAATAGTAACAGGACTCAGACGTGCACATCTGAAGGGAAATGACACCCAACCACCCTGGTACTGACTGTGCAGCAGGGCCAAGATCTGTGTCTATATACACATATGAATGTCTACGTGATCTGCGTCTTTATGTGTGTACAAATGTATATGTGCCCTGTGGCTTTACATATGTATAAACATATACACATTGTGTGTCTTTATATGTGTGTAAATATATATATGTGTCTAAATGCATGTGTGGATCTGTGTCTTTAAAGATTCAGCTTGTAAACACTTGTAGATCAACACTGAGGTTTGGCAGAACACATGTGTCTTCTGGGAGCTCTCGGGGGATGGGGTCGGGCTGGTAGGGGCACTTGGGGGATGGGGTCGGGCTGGTAGGGGCACTTGGGGGATGGGGTCGGGCTGGTAGGGGCACTTGGGGGATGGGGTCGGGCTGGTAGGGGCAGCTGGAGCTCTCTCAATACCATCTTGGTGACTATCCTCTGATCCTCAAAGCATTTCAGTGAAAAAAAGGTGGCTCCTAAACAAAATCTTCTATTCGTGTCGTCTGAGACCTTCGGGAAACTAAGGACAAGATGGCGTGCGTATACGGGACTCAAGACCTCTTACTCCCACGGCACCGGCTCTCCCAGGAGCAGTTACCAAAATGGCCCAACAAAACTCACCGTGCAACTACAGGCGGCTCCCCTGGTGTGTCCTCCCCGGGCTGGCCTGTCCCTGTCCCTGGGCCTGTCCCTGTCCCTGTCCCCGTCCCTGTCCCTGTCCCTGTCTCTGGGCCTGTCCCTGTCCCTGTCCCTGGGCCCGCGCCCCGACTCCCTCACAGGACAAGCAGCTGGAGGAGGTGTGAGTGGTTCTCACCTGAGCAACTTCGCATCGAAGACCGTCTCCACATCGTGCAGGACGGACGGGATGTATTTCAAAGCCGCCACCTGCGTGGGACGTGAAAGACACAGTGAGATGCTGGGCACACGGATTATGGCCAGCTCAGGTCACGGAGCCCCGCCGGAGGCCCCGACACCCCAGAACGGCGCAAGACCAGGGAGAACAGAACAAAGGCTCTGTGCGCCCGCTCGACCTCCACCCTCGAGGGGGCAGCAGGCCGGGCAGCATGACCGCAGCCTGGACACAGTGTATGTCCCCACTCAAAGTCTGTTTCCATGTCTTCTCAGCCACCGGGCTTGGTCCAGACAGCCTTGGAGTTCATGTCTGCAGAATGGGGAGACGGATGTCTCCCTTGGCTGTTTTTTGAGCACTTTATTGGAGATAAAGGTCTCACGGACTTTCCTGCCCAGGCTGGCTATGATCCACGATCCTCAGATCTCAGCCTCCTGAGTAGTTAGGATTGCAGGCATGAACGACCGGGGTCCGGTGACTTGGTGATTTTTATTCTTTTCATTTTCTCCATGTTCCAGGTAACTAGAGCTATTGTCCCTTAGCAACCAGACACAAATAACAGTAGTGAACACTTCTTTCTTCAGGAATATCTTAGTTGTGCTAGCCATGCCCAACTAAGCTTCTTAGTGAAAAACGATTAGGACTGTTTTCTGAGAATGAGCAGACAGCACGCTGAACACCATTAATAGATTATCTGCTTCATTACCGCCTGCAGGGGAAATGCTTTTCTAGATTAAGAACCTCAGTCTGGAGAACACGGTAACCAGCGCACAGTCACGGAGCTGGCGACCAACCGGCCGCTGCTCTCCGAGCCCCAGCCCCAAGGCCCTGGATCCGAAGACAGCCTTGCTCAAAAAACCGCTTTCCCTGAACTCGCCCCCTCTTTCCTCTCATTATGATTCCCAAATGTCCACATAATAATGTGTTTGATATCAAAGAAAGTTACACCAATAATGTGTCAGAGTGGAAATGCCAGGCTGGGTGATTCCTAATCCTAGATTCTGAGGGGGCAGACATCACAGGGGGAGGCCAGCCTGGGCAGAAAAGCCCAGAAGACCCCGCCTCAGCCACCGCTGGGTGCAGTGGTGGGATCCTGCCATCCCAGTGCCAAAGAACACACAAACAGGAGGACCGCAGTCCAGGTCAGTGTGGGACAGGCAGGGGGGCTTGAGTGGTAGAGCACCGGCCTAGCAAGCATGAAGGTGAGCCATTCAAACCCCAGCTCTACAACAGACAGAGACAGAGAGACAGAGACAGAGAGACAGAGAGACAGAGAGACAGAGAGACAGAGAGACAGAGAGAGAACAGAGACAGAGAGACAGAGAGAGATAGAGACAGAGAGAGACAGAGACAGAGAGACAGAAAGAGATAGAGACAGAGACAGAGAGACAGAGACAGAGAGAGAGACAGAGAGACAGAGAGAGACAGAGAGAGAGAGACAGAGACAGAGAGAGACAGAGAGACAGAGACAGAGACAGTGAGAGACAGAGAGAGAGACAGAGAGAGATAGAGACAGAGAGAGAGAGAAAGAGATAGAGACAGAGACAGAGACAGAGAGACAGAGACAGAGAGAGAGACAGAGACAGAGAGAGACAGAGAGAGATAGAGACAGAGACAGACAGAGACAGAGACAGAGAGACAGAGAGAGATAGAGACAGAGAGAGAGAGAAAGAGACAGAGACAGAGAGAGACAGAGAGAGAGAGAAAGAGATAGAGAGAGAGACAGAGACAGAGAGAGAGACAGAGACAGAGAGACAGAGACAGAGAGACAGAGAGACAGAGACAGAGAGACAGAGACAGAGACAGAAAGAGATAGAGACAGAGACAGAGAGAGACAGAGACAGAGAGACAGAGAGAGATAGAGACAGAGACAGAGAGAGAGAGAAAGAGACAGAGGCAGAGAGAGACAGAGACAGAGAGACAGAGACAGAGAGACAGAGACAGACAGACAGAGACAGACAGAGACAGAGAGACAGAGACAGAGAGACAGAAAGGGATAGAGACAGAGAGAGACAGAGAGGCAGAGACAGAGAGAGAGAGAGAGACAGAGAGACAGAGAGAGAGACAGAGAGACAGAGAGAGAGACAGAGACAGACAGAGAGACAGAAAGAGATAGGGAGAGAGACAGAGAGACAGAGACAGACAAAAAGAGAGAGAGACAGAGACAGACAGACAGAGAGACAGAAAGAGATAGAGACACAGAGAGTGTGTGTTTTCTGATTAGAAAGCAAGCAGAAGAAAGACGTTTGTGTGGTTTATGTGTGTGTAACTGTAAGGTTCTCCGTAGGGTGAGCTGCTCTGTTAGCACAAGATGGACAGACATTTTAGCTGATCTGGTCAGATGACCTTACAGGAAGCCATAACAAACTCATCTTTGTAGCCGGGCGCTGGTGGCTCACACCTGTCATCCCAGCTACTCAGGAGGCTGAGTTCTGAAGATCGTGGTTCAAAGCCAGCATGAGCAGGAAAGTCCGTGAGACTCTCCTCTCCAATAAACCATCAGAAAACCAGAAACGGCTCAATGGTAGAGTATTTGCCTTGAGCTGAAGAGCTGAGGGACAGCGCCCAGGCCTAGAGTTTAAGCCCTAGGACCAACAACAACCACAACAGCAGCAAATTCATCTTGGCCAACTATGGTTCCCCCATACCGCGATCTATGTGCATGGAACACACAGTCTTTTTAAGTGAATAACTCGCAACTATATTTCACAGCTCTTGGGTTGCTTTCCCTCAGTTGTTTGTTCATATCTTTTTCCCCCGTTGCTCTTTTCGGTGATTTTCTCCTCGCTGCTTTGTGACGTTTCCTTGGCAGCACCCACGTTCGCCCTCTCGCAGGAGCGCGTTTTGGAAGGATTTCCTCTTGCTCCCTCCGCTGTGTCTTGTGGCATCATCTCTCTCCTTCCTCGTGCAGAAAGGTTTTAATTTGCAAGCTGTCAAATGTGTCAGACCTTTTCTTTACAGCTATTGGATTCCATGCCTACAGATCTACTCATTATTCATTCCAATCCAGATGATCTGAGAAAACACACCTTCCTGGAGCCCTACTGGGACGGGGCAGGTCCGCTGCCGGGGAAGGAGGGTGGCAGGAGTAACGGGGAATGGCCGGTCAAGACAAAGGCAGAAGCAAGCCGGCGTGCCGTGTGTGAGGCGCAGAACTTCCCGCGACAGGTAGCACGGAACCGTGGCACGCGGCGGCGCTCCGGGCAGCTCCGGCCCCGGGCGCTTCCTCTCCCAGTTGGTCAGGGAGCATCTTCATCTGGAAACCAAGGAGAAGCAGCAACACCGGTGCCCGAGGAAGGGGCGGGAAGGGATGCGCGCAGGGCCGGCTGGAAGTGGGGCGTGTGGAGCCCTCTCTCTTCCTGACCACGGAGCTGCTCTTGTCCAAAGAGGAAACCCACACAGCAGCGAGAAAGGACGACACACCAGCACCCCCGAACAGGGACGCGAGTATTCCTCCCTCCAGATAGAGCCGGCAGGAGTCTGGGCCTCCCCTGAGAGTCTGTCCTCCGGGACACTGCGGTGCTGTTAGCAGACGGGCGGTGGTCAGGGGAGGCGGCCTGGGTGCTCCTTTAAGCCGACCGTGCCATCCGCAGGGGCATTTGTGAAACACGGGGGTCTTGCAGAGACTGGAGCTGCACAGGGCCACCGTCCGTCTGCCGCAAGCTCACAAGTGTCTGCCGTGGGCCTCATCGGTGCCCAGAGCTCTTCTGACCACAACTCCATCCACTCCTGGGGCATAAAGAGCGCTGACCCCGGAGGTAAGAGGCCTGGGTGGACTCGAGGTCGGGGCAGCACCCCCCCCCCCAGCCAGGGCAGGTGGAATCGGAGCCAGTGTGCTGCTTCGGGCAGACTCCCCGGAGCCCCGGCCGCTCGGGGGAGCCGAGCCGAGCCCGGAGCTGCTCTTCCTGCCCTCTTTGAACTACTGGCTGTCAGCTCTCCACCAAGACCCAGCAATAAAGGGAACGGCGGGAGGCTCTTCACAAGGCCTGCTGGGCCTCAGAAGTCAGAGAAACAGCTCACTCCCCCCCAGAACTCACAGCGGGCCGGGCTGAGACTTGAACCTGGCCTGCTTTCCTCAGAACTCACCGGGAGGACGCCGGGGAGGGCTTCCAGACCTGCCACCCCATGGGAGGCTCCAGGGAAGCAGAAATGCCCCCCCCCCGTGTCCCTCCCCAGCCGCGGAGGCCTGACCAGCAGATCCCGGCTGCTGCGCTCTCCCGCCCCACACAGCCCCCACCCCCTGCCCCCATGGTTAGGACCACAATGACCCCTTGACCCCTAGCCCCCAAGTCTTGTGTGGCAGGGAGGGGGAAAGGGCGCACGCTTACTTGGATAAACGAAGTCAGGCCTCCGTGCATTTCCCATACTGCTTGAACTACTTCTCGTCCTCTAATTCCACGTGGGCCAAAGGGTGAACCAAGGCCCAGGAGGCAGAAATGACCAGGCCCAGGCCCCTGTGAGGGGGCCCGGCTCAGCCCCCGGGCTCAGGCCCGCGTGGAGTCCGGGGTGCGCGGACGGCCCCGCCGCAGGCTCACCTCGCCTGACCCCGCCCGGACCGCCCCCACCCGTCCCGGCGTCCTCCGAGAGCGAGCCCGGCTGCACAAATGCGAAGCACCTGCCTGTGAATCCTTCCCCACAACTTGGCAACAAGCGTGCACCTGGGTGCAGAGCGCACCGTGGGCTTTATGCAAATCCCCAGGCTAAATTCGGTCCTTTAGAGCGAATTGCACGGGAGAGGAAACCCTTTCGGAGGCTCCGGGGTGGAAATCCAGGAGACGCGAGCGGCATCATCCGGGTGAGGCCGGCAGGAAGAAGGCTGTCCGCCAGGCGGTGGGAAGCCGGCCGGGGGGCCTCAGCCTCCCTGGGGGCCTCAGCCCGGCCACGGGGCCTCAGCCTCCCGGGGGGCCTCAGCCCGGCCGCGTGCCACGCCTGCTCCGCCCCCCGGCCTCCCTCCAGGTGAGGTCAGAGGGAGCCTAATACCCTGCAGCTGGGGGGGGCGGGGGACATCGTGCTGACCCTGGAACTGCTCCTCCCCTCCTTCCTCTGCCTTCCTGTCTCCCACTCTCCCTCTCCCCGGGATACCTGTCGTCCACACAGCAAAACAGCCAGGGAACTCCAAGTAGCTCTGAGATGGTGTTCCCCTGCCCGCCCCTGGACCTTCTGCAAGACGGCGCCCCCTCCACATTTCTCTCTCCGGGCGACTGCTCCTTTCCAAACTTTGTCCCGCACCTGCCACCAGTTGCCTCCTTCCTCTCTGTTCTCCATTTCTGCCTCTCCAACTGTGCCGGCCTTGGAGCCTCTCTCTCTCGGCAACTGGTCAACCTCAGTGTGTCCCACCCACCCTACAGCCCCGTGGCCCCAGGCAGGGCTGGAGCCGGCCCAGGTGTCCCAGTGCGGTGGAGACCGGGCGTGGCCCCAGGTAGCTCTCGTTACACAGTGGTAGGGAGCGCCGCACGGGAAAGGGGGAAAGGCTTTCCTTACGCCAGAACTGTAAGGCTGCAGTCCCAACTAAGCTCGTCCCAGGACAGCCAGTGCCCGGGGGCTGTGCAGAGACCCAGGAGCCAGGGGGCGGGCTGCAGCACAGTCCTCTTCAATGATAGTGATTACAGCACAGTCCTCTTCAATGATAGTGATTACAACACAGTCCTCTTCGAGGGTAGTGATTACAGCACAGTCCTCTTCAAGGGTAGTGACTGGAGCACAGTCCTCTTCGAGGGTAGAGATTGCAGCACAGTCCTCTTCGAGGGTAGTGATTGCAGCACAGTCCTCTTCGAGGGTAGTGATTGGAGCACAGTCCTCTTCGAGGGTAGTGATTGGAGCACAGTCCTCTTTGAGGGTAGTGATTGCAGCACAGTCCTCTTCAAGGGTAGTGATTGGAGCACAGTCCTCTTCAAGGGTAGTGATTACAGCACAGCCCTCTTCAAGGGTAGTGATTAGAGCACAGTCCTCTTCGAGGGTAGTGATTGGAGTGCAGTCCTCTTCGAGGGTAGTGATT